GTACATGGCAATGACACTAAAACTGTGGCCACAGTGGGATTGAGTTATTGCTTTATCCAGATTATAATACAGGTCATTGATCCAGAGACTGAATACATAATATCGAGAGTAACCGAAGGTTGACACTATTTCTATGCCTTCGTCTCGTCGAGATAACATATGATGAAAGGATCGAATTGCACGGTAACCATATCGTTGACAGGTAGCTACTTTGTTGAATCTGAATCTATCGGTGGCCATGATGCCTTGCTAGGGGCCAATCTTGGTCTGTGTATTAGTAGACGATTAATTGGTGTTAATCGCGATACTATACACTGCCAACATGATGAGGAGCCTATGGGTCCCACACATAGAAGATAATTTAAGATCCAAGAAGAAAGAAGGGCATTTTCGTCTTTTTAGGAGAAAGGGTATTTTGGTAATTTCACAGTGCAATTAAATTTGCTGAGTCGTACCTTTATTTAATTTATTAGAAAAATTAAATAAGTGAAATTACGTTTAAATGTGTTCGCATATATTTAATTAAATCATCATTAGTGTTAAATGTTAATATATATATATATATATATATTAAAATATATTAATTGAGTTTAATTGAGATAATGATGAAATTAATAAAATATCTAATTAGGGGTGTTTGGGTTAGAGCCCAAACCTATTCCATATGGGACAGGGCATTAAGGTTTTACTATAAAAGAGAAGTTAAATGTAAAATTACTTGTGATTTTCATTAGTTTTTTTTTTTTTTTTTTTTTTTTTTTCCTCTTGAAAGAAAAACACACAACCCTCAAATATTGACACTCCCACGACAAAAACATTTTGGCCTAGAAATCAATTCAATTTGATTTCTTTTTCTTCTTAATCTTGAAGCCAAAGAGGATCTAGCAAATCCCTCTTTGGTTCTTTTGAGATTGTCTTCGTGTGGACTACGTGGGTTCGATCCTACACTTGGATCGGTAGCAAAACATTCAAAGGCAATCGTGGTGGAGCCTCCAAACGTGTGTATGGTTTCTAAACACAGATTATTAATTTCTGCTGATTCTTGCTTTAATATGAATTGTAAAATTATACCCTTGATCTTGGCTCATGTAAATGATCCATATATATATTATTTTTGTTTCCGCTGCGTATACGAGACCGTTTACTAACAATATCTACACCGACCATAAGAGTTTAAAGTATTTTTTTTACTCAGAAGGAGTTGAATATGAGACGGAGAAGATGGTTAGAGCTGGTTAAAGATTATGAATGTGAGATTAAGTGTCAGCCAGGGAAAGCTGATGTAGTAGCCGATGCTTTGAGCAAAAAAGCTTATTTGTCCCGACCCACAAGACAAAACAAGTTAATAGAAGAGTTGTGTAAAGAGTAGATTGAGGTCATACCAAGAAGGATTGCTAGGTTAGAGGTTCAGTCGACCTCACTAGAAGAAATTAAAGAAAAGCAAGTAACCAATGAGTGGTGTCAGAAAATAGTTCAATAGGTGCATGAGGGCAAGACATCAGAGTTTCAGTTGTTGGATGATGTCCTCCATTTTAGGAGTCGGCTATGTACCGTACACTGCTCATCCTGGAGCAACCAAGATGTATTGAGATTTAAAGAAAAGCTATTAGTGGCTAGATATGAAGAAAGATATTGTAGACTTTGTAGCTAAATGCCTGGTTTGCTAGCAAGTGAAAGCAGAACACCAAAGGCCATCAGGGTTGCTTCAGCCACTTAGTATTCTTGAATGGAAATGGGAGAGTATCTCAATGGATTTTATTATAGGTCTCCCTATAGTGCAGAAATGATACAATGCTATATGGGTGATTGTAGACAAATTGACTAAATCAACCCATTTTCTTCCAGTAAAGGAGAGTACCATTTTGGATCAATTGGCCCAGATGTATATTAAAGAGATAGTGAGACTTCATGGTGTACCCAAGACAATAGTATCAGACAAAGATTCCAGATTTGTCTCAGCTTTCTAGATGAGTTTACAGAGGAACTTGGGTACCAGGCTGGCTTTTAGTACTGCTTATCATCCTTAGACAGATGGTCAGACAGAGAGAACAAATCAAGTGCTTGGGGACATGTTGAGAGTATGCTGTATGGATTATAAAGTATCATGGCATGAGATGTTACCCTTGGTAAAGTTTGCTTATAATAATAGCTACCAGTCTACAATTAAGATGGCTCCTTACGAGGCTTTGTATGGTAGACGGTGTAGATCTCCAATGCATTGGGATGAGATGGGCAAGAGAGATGAGTTGAATATAGCTCTTGGGCCAGAAATGACTCAAAAGATGATAGAAGATGTAAAGTTGATCAAAAGCAGAATGAAGCAAGCCCAAGATAGGCAGAAAAGTTATGCTGATCAGAAAAAGAAAAGAAGTTGAGTTTGAAGTGGGTGACAAAGTTTTCCTGAAAGTTTCCCCCTACAAACGGCTGATGCGTTTCGGTAATAAAGGAAAGTTAGCACCGAGATTCATTGGTCCATTTGAGGTGTTACAGCGAGTAGGAAAAGTGTCCTACAGATTAGCATTACCACCCAGTATGGACAAAGTTCATAATGTATTTCATGTCCCGATGCTTCGGAAGTATGTAAGTGATCCCTCCCATATTCTGAGCATAGAGGACGTAGACTTGGAAGAGAATCTTGTGCGTCAGGAGCATCCAGTGTAAATTTTGGACAGAAAAATTAAAGAGCTCCGGAACAAGAGTATCCCTTTAGTGAAAGTCCTCTGGAGAAATCATAAAGTTGAAGAAGCTACATGGGAGAGAGAGCAAGACATGCAGAACCGTTACCCGGAGTTGTTTGTTTGAATTTCGCGGACGAAATTCTTTGGGGGGGGGGGGGGAAGAATGTAACACCCACACGGAGGTATGTAATTTATTTAGTTTTTTATAGCCCTTAGTGATTTTTGTTAAAGTTATTTTAAGAATATATAAAGAAAAGCCTTAAAACTTGCATTAGGGTAAAATGGTCTTTTCACTCAAAATTAGTTGAAAAAGTGGAGAGTGAAAAGAGGAGAAATTTCATGTAAAAAGGCAAATAAAAATGAGGGCATTATGGTAATTGACTAAGGGACATAGATGAAATTTTCAAGAAAGTGTAAGGACAAAATGGGAAAGTATGTTTATAAAATAAGATATTAAGGGTTTGAAACCTTTATTTCTCTCCTTCCATCACCACTTTCCTTCTCCATTTTCTCTCAAATTTTCACTCAATTTTTCAAGGATTTTTTAGGGCTTTTGAGTGGATTTTAATAAGGTTTTGATCCTAGGCAACAAGAGGTAAGAATTCTTGCTCTATATATAAGATTTACTTGTGTAGAAGTTGAATTCTTATTAAGTTTATGCTTAGGGTTAAGAGAAGGTTTGAATCCAACAAGAGTAGAGAGTTTTAGTGGAGACTACTCAAGTATAAGGTAAGTAAATTCCACTCAAACTCCAACTCAAGTTAAAGTTTAAGAAATCAATTGAGTAGAGATTTCTTTAAGCATGTATATGTTATGATTGTTGAGAAATTGAGATGAGATTGATTATTATTTATGCATGTTGTTGGATATATTTGAGTATGAGAAGTGTTTTTGATTGTATGATGATGGGTTGAAATTCGGTTGGAATTGGAAGAATTTTGGGAGTGTTTTGCCGTGTAGGGATTATGAGGACACATAGGAGTTTGGCCCTCATTTTGGATGGTTAAAGAAAAAAAGAGAATTATAATTAAAGTAAAGTTTGTATATGCACATTTATTATTTGATAAAATGCCTAAGAGAAGTATGAGTATGAGTAGAAACTTTGATTTTATGCAATATTGCATATTTGTATTTCATAAGTGCATTTAAGTAAGAATTCTAAGCATGAGCCATCCACATGCATATATTTGTATTTGTGTAATAACTTAAGAAAGAATAAAGAATTTTAAGAATAAAACACTTTAAGAATAAAGAGAAAGAAAAAATAAGCACTAAAGAATTAAAGAAAGAAAAGCATTAAAGAAGAGAAAAGAGTAGGTTGTGCGATGGGGAACCGTGAGTGCTAAGAAGAAATTTCCACATACACGCCACCTTAATTGAGTGGCATAAGAAGAAGAAGAAGAATTGTACGACCCATAAGAGTGTATGTGGATTAGGGTTGTACCAGGAAGAATTCCTACATGTACGCCACCTTAATTGAGTGGCCTAAGAAGAAGAAAGAATTTGTAAGGTCCGCAAGAGTGCATGTAGATGAGGACTGTACTCACTCACAAGGCCAAGGTTCCAAATCCATGCATCAACCGAGACTGATCGGCAAAGAATAAGAAAAGAAAGAATAAGAATAAGAAAAGAAAGAATAAGCAAGAATAAAAAACGAGAAAAGAAAGAATAAGAAAGAACAAGAATAAGAAAGAATGAGAAAGCTTGAACAAGCAAAGAAAAGAAAAGAAAAACAAGAAAGAAAAGAGAAGCTTGAGCAAGACAAACAAGAAGAAAGGAAAAGAAATAGAATAAGAAATAGAAAGAAGAAAGAAAATACATTTTTATGCATTATTGCCCATGCATTTCATTCATGCATATTACCATGTATTCCACCATGGTTAGAAAGAGTAGAAAGAAAAGGAAGAATAGAAAGAAAGAATAGAGAGAAGGAAAGAACATCGAGAATTAGGAAGAAAGAAAGAACAGTAAGAATTAGAAACAGAGAAAGAAAAGAGAAAGAACTAAGAATGAAAGAAAGAGGAAAAGAATTAAGTAAGGAAAGAATCAAACAAGGAGAAGAGTTAAGGGATTTACTTACTAAGCATTTTTATGCTCACCCCGTTGTTTTTCCATGTTTTTGCAGGAAATAGGTGAGCAGCAGTCGGAAGGGAGTCGTCAAGCGGAGAGAATTGGCATTAATGTCCACCGTTACTATGTTTTTGTACTTGTTATTTTAGTATACGTAAAGAATTATATTTTATAAGTAAAGAAAAATGTGGGCCCAACTATTTTCATATGCTAAGTATGTATGATTTTATTGTATATATATTCTAAAGTATACTAGTAGAAAGAAGTCCTTACACCATTTTCAGACCATGCTACTTCATAGATTTCAATGGCAATTTGAAATCCGATATCAACCAAGTCTCCATGGATCATCGTTACAGCAACCGCATATGTAACACCGAACCATATTTCTCTTGGCTGCAATGTTGTCATGTCACCTATTCCAACAGGTAGATCCCATTGACCAGCCCCTACCATGCATCCATATTCTTTAACGCATTATAGTTAAAAACCTTCTCTAATGCTCTTCTTGCTTTGTCTTCATCAAATATCGTTGAAAAAGCACATGTTCGTGCATAACTACATTAGAGACACACCTAGTAAGTTCTAGTCTTATCAAATTGAACTAAAAAATATATATATTAAGAAAAAGAAACATGTGAAACATTATAAATAAATCAGGATTTATCAGGCCTGGATATTTGAGAATACCAATCTGTAAAGTTAATCAGTTGCAACATACCATCTTCCAGTAAACTAATCAATTTGAATAGATGAACTTGAGTGGCTACCATTATTGTTGTAGTTGAAGTAAGAACCATTCAACAATTTCTCATATGCAACTTTTGCTTACTGAAATTTGCACCAGAAATAATCCTCAAACCCTTACGATCTACTCCATGTGCAAATGTTGATGCAGCTACAGTGCTGCCACCTCCACTATATGCACTTACAATAGAGACAGATCACATATCGTATGTTTGATCAGGGAAACCATCATTCTCAATCATCCCCATCACCATCCCCATCAAATTCGAATAGATGAAAGTGGTTCCTGAACCTTCTTCTTATAGTAACCAAAATAGAGCATTTTGGCAGCTAGATGAACTTTTGCAGGATTCTGCTCCAAAAAATTTTAGTACTCACTAAAGTTTTATCACATGAACTTCAATTTCTCTTTTGGACCAGAAATTAAGGATGCTAGTTCAAACACTCAGGATAATTTTCGCCCTTCATTAGTAACTGCATAATTAAGGACATTGTACATTCAATCGGCTCACATTTCTCTCCGCCATCTTATGAAGGAGTTCAATAACTTTTGGTATCTCATTATTTTTATGAAAGCAAAAAGAAGCATATTAAATATGACTACATTTGGAGCACAACCTTGTTCCTCCATATATGACAACAACTTGTTTGCCTTTTCTAGTTGTCCATTTTTACAGAGCCCATTTATCAAAATGCTATATGTTACAACGTTTGGCACTAGGTTTCCATGCAGAGAAAATTTCTGAAATAGGCCCAAGCAACTTCGAATCTCCCTGTTTTACATAATCCATCAATGAGGGAACTCAAACCTTCAATACCAACTGCAAACCCATTATTTACTAGAGTATAAAACATTTCCAGCACTTCCAAAACACATCCATTCTTGTAAAGTCCATCAATGAAAATGTTATATGTCCAGGAATCAGGAAAAAGACCGTTAAGTCGCATCTCACCAATCAAATTCCGTGCATCTTCAACCTTAGCGATAAGAAAAAGACCAATTAACAAGGTGCTATATATAATCACATCGGGTCTAATTTCTTCATAAATCACTTTTCGATAAAGATAAAGAGCTTGGTTGACTTCTTTATCCTTGCAATACCAATTGATTAAAGTATTGTAGCAAACAACATTAGGCGTATACCCCTTTCTAGTTATGGAATCAAACAACTGTCTTACATCACCAATTCTATCTGCCAAGTAGTAACCATTCATTAAAATGCTATAAGTATAAATGTTAGGAACCACACCTCTCTGAATCATAAGTTCCAAAAATAATTGTCTAGCCTTCTCAACCAATCCAGCCTTACAAGACCATCAATTATAGTACTATAAATAACAACATTTGGCCTACAAATAACACCAAATTCATCATTCCCATTAACCATCTCCTCATACAACTTAATAGCAAGACTTATCTCCTCTGTTTTACACAATACATCAATCAAAGTCCCATAAGTAATCACACTAGGCCTACAACCAACAACAACCATTTTCTTAAACAATTCCATTGATTATATAATCTTTCTCTCTACACACTAACCTTTAATTAAACAGGTAAATTTCGTAGTATCTGGGCTAAAACCCAACTTCAAAATCCTCCCAAAAACTGCATAACCATCAAAAACCCTTTTAATATTACACAAGCAATTGATTAAAATGCTCAAACACGTGAAATCTGGAGACAACCCAGTTGAATTCAACCACTTATAAAGCAAAATCGCTTCATAATGATGCTTCTTCTTCGCAAGTGCACTGAACAAAGTGGTGAATGATGAAATTGGAGAAATGGGTTCCGAACTAATCATGTAATAGAAAAAGTACAATGCTTCATTTAGAGTAAAGTTACTTGATGGACAATTTTCTTTGAGGAATTTAGCAAGTGAGGATCATTCAAGGGGTTTTTCGAAAGAATGCAAAACTTCATTTCGGGGGCTTGAAGTTGTGAGGCTATGTAAGTGAGCTAGCAAATATAAAACACTAAGTTTCAGAGATGGGTTTTGAGAGATTGAAGATGAACGAAATGGGGATCTCAAAGCCATGTATGAAGAATGTTTTTGTGGGTTTCGTTAAGGTTTCTTTAAGGTAAGGACAATGCAAATTGCAATTGCAAATGCGTTTAAGAGACGAATGTTTTGATAAATTTCACACGCCTCCTTCAGACCCTCACGACTTTGTTTTGCTTCGTGGTCTCTCCACCTTGCGAATGCCTCCCTTATGACTTGAACCTTGGACTTATACCTTGGCCAAGTAACATGAGTACCATTAATGGAGACTTAGAGAGTACCTGGCTGGAAGGGGGTGTTACATCAAGGGTTTTCTTCGTCGAGCTCTTTGGGGGCTCGGGGCACCTTTCTCCCCAACTGTCGTGGAGGCAGTCACGGCACTTGGGCCTTCCCAAAGTTCACCGCCACTGCTCTTGAGGACCATGTGTGAGGTACCATGCTTGACCACCTCGACAGTATTTGCGAGCCGTCTTCGTCGAAACAATCAGCGGCAAAGGAAAAGCAAGTGGTCAGTGACCTAACAGGGCGAGATAAAAAAACAACAAGCTATCAAGTACTTACCTTTATCAAAAATTGTATTGAACTTGGCTTCATTGACGCAAAAGCAATACGCTTTCAATTGAGGAAGCATGATAAGCTCGGTAACTTTGTGCTCACTATTGGGGAGATTGATAAATTGCTGAAGTCACTTTAAGCTCACCTCATGAAGGAAGTTATGCTCGACGTTTACTGCAAAACACAGAGAATTGATTAGTTCGGTCATCGAGCTTGGAAACATTCTTTGCACGCTGGTCTTACTAAAACCTTAAGATATTGTTCATATGGACAATTTCTTTGGGACGTCAACCAAACCATTGAATTGTACTTTCCTCGCCTTAAAGAGGTAGTACGTTTGGTCTCGACTCTTTTTTAGCCTATACAAATGGACGAGCTCGTCTACAGATAGCTCACCCAAGTAAGCTTTCATGTATCCTATGTACATGCCTACAATTATTATATACGAGTTTGCCGTCAACGGGAGGGGAACAATGCCAAATCTTTCTAAAATATTGACGATGAAGTAATGAAGGGGAACAGACATCCCACACCTCAGGAAGGTATCAGAAATCGCCACACAACAAGTAGGCGGATATTTCCAAGAGAAGTTTCTCGGAGCCCTTAGGGGAAGTTGAGTCGTATAAACACTTGTTATGTGCTCAATATCCTCGACCTCTATTGAGGAACGTGGTTCCTTTCGAGGCCTATGGACCAAATATCTCTTTTGCGGAAAAGTCTCTATAGAAGAATGATTGGAGGAGCCCGTAGCATTAGGATCCGTCTTCATACGATGAAGTCCTCAGAAACCTCAAGGACTACGCCCTCGTGAACGGTTGAGGTCATAGGGGAATCAAAGAGTCGATCTATGCTGTGGAAGCTAGAGGAAGACATGATGGAAGCTCGCCTCTAGGTACCTGAAACCAAGGACGTAGCCAGGATTCTGAGTGAGTGGGTTCAAAACATCAATGTTGATAAATTTACAATAAAATATATACTTAAGTAATAAGCATAAAAAAATGTATTTTTAAAAGTTATATATACCAAATTATCAATTCTACAATTGTCCTTGATGATTTTTCATATTCTAAAACCATTGCATAATTGCTTCATTGACAATTCCATCAAATATCTCTCTCTCAATATATGTAATAAGAGAATCATTTAACAATTGATCTCCCATTCGATTCCATTGTCTATTTTTCACAATCTTCATCGCAGAAAATGCTCTTTCTACACTTGAAGTTGCAACAGGTAATATCAATGCTAATTTCATGTCTAAAAAGATAACAACACAAACAAAAACACCCTCCTTTTCTACACTATACTCCAACCAATTTGCATATTCTCTAAACCAAATGGGATTAAAAAGACGCGTTAAATTCTCAATTGCTCTCTTTTTAAAATTATGATTGTGTGGTTGGCAAGGTCCTTTTTGCAAGTATGTGTTTCTCACTTNTCCTACACCATAAACCCTAAAACCTAAAAAACATTAAACCCTAAACTCTTAAGCCTAAAAAACCTTAAGCCCTAAACCCTAAACCCAAAACCCTAAATGATAAACCCAAAACCTGAAACCATAAACATTAAACCCTAAAAAATCGTAAACACAAAAAACCCTAAACCTTAAACCCTAGAAAAATATAAATCCTAAATCTTAAACCCCAAACCCTAAACAACGCTAAACCCTAAACCTTAAAAACTCTTAAACCCTAAACTGTAAAAAACCTTAAACCCAAAACCGTAAACAACGTTAAACCCTAAGCCCTAAAAAATCTTAAACCCTAAACCCTAAAATCCCCAAAACCCAAAACCTTAAACCCTAAAAAACCCTAAACGTTAAATGCTAAAAAACCCTAAACTCTTAACGCTCAACTCTAAACACTAAAAACTGAACCCTAAAAAACCATAAACCCTAAAAAAAATATACACCCTAAACCCTAAAACGTAAAAAACCTTAAACCCTAAACCCAAAAAAATGCTAAACCCTAAATCCTAAAAACCTCGAAACCCTAAACACTTAAGCCTAGTAAACCCTAGGCCCTAAACCCTAAACCCTAAATACTAACCCCAAAACCCTATACCATAAACACTTAACCCTAAAAAGTCATAAACACAAAAAACCCCAAACCCTAAACCCTAAATAATAAAAAAAAGTAAACCCTAAAAAATCCTAAACCCTAAAACCTAAAACCTAAAACCTTAAACCCAAAAATATCCTAAACCCTAAACCCTAAATCCTAGAAAATTCAAAACCCTAATCAATTAAGCCCAAAAAACCCTAGGCCATAAACCCTATACCATAAACATTTAACCCTAAAAAATCGTAAACACAAAAAACCCTAAACCCCACAAAAACCCTAAACCCTAAATCCTAGAGAACTCGAAACCCTAAACACTAAAGCCCAAAAACCCTAGGCCCTAAACCCTAAACCCTAAATGCTAAACCCAAAACCCTATACAATAAACATTTAACCCTAAAAAATCGTAAACACAAAAAACCCTAAACCCTAAACCCTAAAAAACCCTATACCGTAAATCCTAAATCCTAAAAAACCCTAAACCCTAAAAGCCCAAACCCTAAACAACGCTAAACCCTAAACCCTTAAAACCCCTAAACCCTAAACCTTAAACCCTAAAAAACTTTAAACCTTGAACGCTAAAAAGCCCAGAACGCTAAACACTAAACCCTAAAAAACCATAAAAATCCTACACCCTAAACCCTAAAACCTAAAAAACCCTAAACCTTAAAAACCACTAAACCCTAAACCGTAAATCCTAAAAAACTCGAAACCCTAATCTCTAACACCTAAAAAACACTAAACTGTAAACCCAAAACAGTGAAAAACCTAAATCGTTGCCCTAAAAAACCATAAACCCTAAATCTTAAAAAAATCTAAAACCGTAACCCTAAATCGTAAACCTTAAAAACCCTAAACACTAAAAACCTTAAACCATAAACCGTAAACCCTGAAAAATCTTAAACACTAAACCCTAAAAACCAAACCCTTACAAACCCTAAACACTAAAAAATCCTAAGCTGTAAACCCTAAATTACCCTAACCCTAAATCCTAAAAATCCTAAACCCAAAATCCTAAAAAACCCAAAACCCTATGCCCTAAAGCTTAAAGCCTAAACCCTAAACGCTAAATCCAAAACCCCAAACCTTGAACACTAAACCCTAAAAATTGGTAAACCCTAAAATACCTAAAACCCTAAACGCTAGAAAACCCTAACCTTAAACCCTAAAAAGCCCTAAACCCTAAATCCTAAAAAATCCAAAACCCTAAAAAATCTTAAACCCTAAAAAACCTTAAACCCTAAACCCCTAAAAACCCTAAATTTTTTTGGATAAGGTAAGTATGAATAAAAGACCAAAAATGTACAAATACGAGGGGCATACCCCAAGAGGATGACTGATAACTTAAAAACCTTAAATGCTAAACACTAAACGCTAAACCCTAACATACCGTAACCCTTAAAAAAATCATACATCCTAAACCCTAAAAGCTAAAAAACCATAAATCCTAAACCCTAAAAAACCATAAACCATAAACCTAAAAAACTCAAAACCCTAAACTCTAACACCTAAAAAACCCTACGCCCTAACCAATATATCCCAAATAACCCATAACCCAAAAAAAACGCTAAACCCTTAACTCTGAAAAACCCTAAACCCTAAAAATGCTAGACCCTAAACACTAAACCTTAAACCCTAAAAAACCTTAAACCCTAAACTCTAAACACTAAACCCTAAAAACCCGTAAACCTTAAAAAAACCATATACCCTAAACCCTAAAAGCAAGAAAACCCAAAAACCTAAACCCTAAACAATGCTGAACCCTAAACCCTAAAAAATCATAAACCGTAAACCCTAAAAACCTCTAAAACCTAAACCTTAAACTTTAGAAAATCCTAAACCCTAAAATACCCTAAATTCTAAACCATAAAC